AGGTCTTGAGAACATGACCTATGAAGGAAGGCTGAAAGAATTGGGTTTGTTTAGTTTGGAAAAGAGAAGACTGAGAGGGGACATGATAGCAGTTTTCAGGTATCTAAAAGGGTGTCATAAGGAAGAGGGAGAAAACTTGTTCACCTTTGCCTCTAAGGATAGAACAAGAAGCAATGGGCTTAAACTGCAGCAAGGGAGGTTTAGGTTGGACATTAGGAATAAGTTCCTAACTGTCAGGGTGGTTAAGCACTGGAATAAATTGCCTAGGGAGGTTGTGGAATCTCCATCTCTGGAGATATTTAAGAGTAGGTTAGATAAATGTCTATCAGGGATGATCTAAACAGTATTTGGTCCTGCCATGAGGGCAGGGGACTGGACTCAATGACCTCTCGAGGTCCCTTCCAGTCCTAGAATCTATGAATCTATGCATCCCAGGATCATATTAGCTCTTCTGGCCACAGCATCACACTGGGAGCTCATGTTCAGCTGATTATCCACCATGACCCCCACATCTTTTTCAGAGTCACTGCTTCCCAGGTTAGAGTCCTCCATCCTGTAAGTAAGGCCTGCATTGTTTGTTCCTAGATGGATACATTTACATGTAGACATATTTAAATGCACATTGTTTCCTTGTGTCCAGTTTATCAAGAGATCCAGATTGCTGTGAATCAGTGATGTGTCCGCTTCATTATTTCTCACTCCCCCCATTTTTGTGTCATCTGCAAACTTTATCTGCAATGCAATGTCATCTGTAATTCCCAGTGGAGTGCTAGGGGGTCTGTGCTGCAGGGAGCAGGGCAGGGGCTCAGTAGGGGACACCCTCCTCTCAGTCAGTGCTGACCCCAATGCCCAGAGTGGTGCTAGGGGCCCTGTTACAGTCACTGATTAGTGCATATTATGTAAAATGAAAGTCCTTTCCAGGAGCTGTGTGTGGTGGCCAGGGATTGAGGCATAAACAGAGGAAATGGCAAAGAATTTAAAGGTGGTCAGCAAATGCAATCCCTGCCTTAACATGCTCTGTTGCATCCTTGGAAGTGTCCAGCTCTGCACTGAGCCCAAAGACTTTAGCTAATGCTTTAGCCTTTCAGTCCTCATGGGAGTAAACTGCTGTGTTCCACAGGCAGAGGACAGGAGAGACCAACATGCATCAATGCCCAAAGACCCCGTGATGGCATGAAATGGATTAGGCGAGATATATACAGATAATCTTCTCGAGACCCATGCCACATATTGCAGAGGAAGGTGAAAAAAATCCCAGTTTTAGGTGGCGGTGGGAGAAATTTCTTCCTGACCGCCCAAATTTGGTGACCCTGAGCATGTGAGCAAGATACATGAACCAGACATCTAGAAAGAGGATACCCTGTGCCATCTCAGAGCACTGCCCATCCTGTCCAGTGTCCCATCTTCAGTAGTGGCCAATCTCTGATGATTCTGAGGAAGTTAAAAGCAAGCAAACAAAAAAAATTCCCAAACAAAACAAAAATCCAGAACACATCTAGCCAACTGTGCTCTGGGGAGGAGGGAATCCTTTCTTACGCTTGCAGGCAATCAGCTAGAGCACTGAAGCCTGAGATTTGATAATAGTCTTTGTCACAGTGCAGAGTTGCAGTGTTTTGAGCATGTTGAAGGCATTGTAGAGGTTCCAGTTCTCCCCATGGCCCATGACAGAAGGGTATGAATGGATTCACAGACTCCAAATCCAGAAGGGATCACCAGGACCATGCAGCCTGACCTCCTGCCTACAGGGGCTGCAGAATTTCTCCCAGCAGATGAATTACAGTGGATCTTTTAAATATCTAATCTTGTTTTAAAGACTCCAAGCTATAGTGAATCCACTTCTTTTGGGAAGCTGCTGCAATGTTTAATCACAGCCAGTGCTAGAAAATTGTATCATATTTCAAGGGTGAGTTTGTCTAGTTTCACTTTCCAGCCATGGGCTTGTGTTCTGCCTCTGTTGGTGTGGTGAAAAAACTTTCTGCTCTCAGATCTCTTTTCGATGTGTCAGGACCTAGACACAGTGATCAAGTCACTTCTCATCTTTCTCTTTGATAAGCAGAATAGTTTGAGCTCCTTGACTCTCATGTCATAAGGCTTGTGTTCCTGACCCCGGATCATTTTTATGGCTCCTCCTTTGACCACTCTCCAGTATTTCCACATCCTTCTTGAAGTGTGGACACCAGAATTGGACACTGTATTCTAGTAGCGATATTATCAAGGCTGTCTATGAAAGCAAAATCCCTATTTCCACTTGATATTCCCCTTAATATACATCCAAGCAGGGCCGGCTCCAGGCACCAGGCCCCCAAGCACATGCTTGGGGCGGCACCTGGTAAGGGGCGGCAGGGGGAGCGTGGCGCGGCATTCCGCGGGGATGGGGGTGCGCTCCGGCAGTGCGGCAGTTGGCGGGGGGGCGGGCTCTGGCGGCGCGGGGGGGCTTTCCGGTGGCGCGTCGGGCACGGGGGGGCGGGCTCCGGGC